ACTACTACTACTACTACTACTACTACTACTACTACTACTACTACTACTACTACTACTACTACTACTACTACTACTACTACTACTACTACTACTACTACCACCACTATTACTACTACTACGGTTGCTACGACACTACGACTACTACTAAACTACTACTACTTCTCTACATTGTTTACTACTACTGCTACTATCCTACTACAACGCCTACTACGACTACTACTACTACTACTACACTACTACTACTACACTACTACTATTTACTAACTACTACTACTACTACTACTACTTACTACTACTACTACTGACTACTACTACTACCACTGCTACTTTTACTACTACTACTGCTACTACTACTATTACTACTACTATCGCTACTACTACTACTACTACTACTATTACTACTACTACCACTACTACTACTACTACTACGACTACTACTATTACGACCACTACTACAACTACTACGTCACCGTTACTACTACTACTACTACGACGACGACTACTACTACTACTACTACTACTACTACCACCACTACTACTACGACTTCTACGACTACCACTACTACTACTACTACTACAACTACTACTACTACCACTACTACTACTACTACTACTACTACGACTACTACTACTACTACTTGTGCTACTACTACTACCACTACTACTACTACGACGACTACTACTACTACTACGACTACTACTACTACTACCACTACGACTACTACTACTACAACTACTACTCATACTACGACTACTACTACTGAGACTACTACTGCTACGACTACTACTACTACTACTACTACTACTACTAGTACTGCTACTGCTACGCTAAAACTGCTACTGCTACTACTCCTCCTGCTACTACTACTACTACTACTACCACCACCACCACCACCACCACCACCACCACCACTACTACCACTACTACCACTACTACCACTACTACCACTACTACCACTACGACTACCACTACTACTACTACTACTACTACTACTACTACGACTACCACCACTACTACGACTACTACTACTACTACTACTACTACTACTACGACTACTACTACTACTACTACTACTACTCTTACTACCAACTACTACTACTACTACAACTCCACTACTACTACCCTACTCCAACTCCTAGACCTATCTCCTACTCCTACTCCTACACCTACTAGTACTACTCCGACGTCTACCTATACTACTTGTACTTTAACTACTACTACTACTACTTCTACTACTACTATACTATTACAACCCTGCTACAACACGTACGACTACGACTACTACTACCCTTCTACTACTACTACCTACAACTACTATTACTACAACCACTAAACTGCAACGACTACAACTATACTATCTATACTAACTACTCACAACTACAACTACAGCAACTTCTACTACTTCTTCTACTATACTACTATACTTACTCCTACTCCTACTACAACTACTACTACTACTACACTACAACTACACTACTACTAATACTACTACTACTACTTTACTACTACTACAACTACCACCACTACTACGAACTACAACTACTAACTACTACTACTACTACTACTACTACAACTCTAACTACCAACTAACTACTACTACTACTACTACACTACTCGACTCCGACTCCGACCCGACTCCGACTCCTATACTCCTACTCCAAACTAAACTACTCCGACTCCTATACCACTACTTGAACTTTACTACTACTACTCTTCTTCTACTACAACCACTAATACTACTAACTACTATTACTACACTACAACTACTACGAAATATAACTACTACACTCCTTCTACTACTACTACTACAACTACTACTAACTACACTACTAATATTACTAATTACGACAACGACACAAACCTATACACTACTACTACTACACTACACAACAACTAAAACAACAAACACCAACTAACTATACTACTACTACTATTTTTTTGTGTGTGTGTCACTGCTACACTACTACACTACTACACTACTACTACTACTACTACTACTACTACTACTACGACTACTACTACTACTACTACTACTACTACTACTACTACTACTACTAGGGTTAAACCTCTCCTTCGTGTCTACTAAGAATGAATGGGTAAGGGTAAGGGTAAGGGTTCGGGTTCGGGTTCGGGTTCGGGTTCGGTTCCACACAATCAGTTTAAACCACATAGACTAACATAGAATAGTCGGAATTTAATCGTACACGAAGCAGGAGTTCGGAAACCCACAATTTCGCCATTCGCTGATAGGAAAACAATACAGGGGCTATAGAGCTAATAGCACACGAAGATGAGGTTCGGAAACCCACTGATTCTAATAGTACACGAAGAAGGGGTTCGGAAACTCACAATTTCGCCGTTCGCTCGTAAGAAAACAATACAGGGGCTATAGAGCCAATAGTACACGAAGGTGAGGTTCGCAAACCCATTGTGGAAAACGAGAAAACAGCGTTCCTCTTTTCCTGCTCGCTTTCCTCTTCCTCATCCTCCTCCTCCCCCTCCTCCTCCTCCCCCTCCTCTTCCTCCTCCTCCTCCTCCTCCTCCTCCTCCTCCTCCTCCTCCTGCCCGTCCCCACCTCCTCCTCCTCCTCCTCCTCCTCCTCCTCCGCCCTCTACCCCTCGTCCCCCCCCCTCCTCCCTCCTCCTCCTCCACCTCCTCCTCCTCCCCTCCTCAATCCCTCCCTCCTCCTAACCATCGCCACGAAACCCAAACAAATACAACCATGAAATGCCTCCCCGAATAAAACCAGAACGACTCTTATAAAACCTCTCTCAATGACCAGAGGGGCCACGACCTCGTGAGGGTGTGCCGGCATTGGCTCGGTGGCCGTCGGGCAACGCTCCACATTGGGTCAGGGCACGACATGTAAAAAAGAGTTCCGAACATCACTCGGGCGCGATCCAAATTGAAGTCTACATGAGGGGTGAACCGATATTGCTCATCGGTGCCGTCGGCAAGCGCTCCCAGGTGGCCAGTACACGACTCGAGAGTGGCGTGCCGGAATTTGACCGTCGGTGGCCTTCGCAGCGCTCCACTTGACCAGGGCCACGATCCTAGTGAGTGCCGCCCGGAATCGCGCGTCGATGCATTCTGGTTCCTCGAAGGGTTGTCCGAACGGTTGGGGGAAAGTGGCGGTTGCTCCAAATCCGACGTCGACACGAAGGACAGGTGTAAAACTGTCGTTTTTTGATCGCTTCTAATACGAATACAATCTACAGCCTCTACAGCGAATAGTGCACGAAGGTAGGCATTGGCGCGAAAGACACGAAGGCCAGGTTTGAAACTAATGTTTTCGCAATTCCCCTGGTAGGAGTTCTATTAGGCCTGATACACAAGAAGAGTACACGAAGGTGAGGTTTGTAGCGACACGAGGACCAGGTGCAACCCTACTACTACTACTACTACTACTACTACTACGACTACCACCACTACTACGACTACTACTACTACTACTACTACTACTACTACTCTTACTACCACTACTACTACTACTACTACTACTACTACTACTACTACTACTCCTACTCCTACTCCTACTCCTACTCCTACTCCTACTCCTACTCCTACTCCTACTAGTACTACTCCGACTCCTACTACCACTACTTGTACTTTTACTACTACTACTACTACTACTTCTTCTACTACTACTACTACTATTACTACGACTACAACTACTACGACTACGACTACTACTACTCCTTCTACTACTACTACTACTACTACTACTACGACTACGACTACGACTAGTACTACTACTACAACTACAACAACTACTACTACTACTACTACTTCTACTACTACTACTACTACTACTACTACTACTACTACTTCTACTACTACTACTACTACTACTACTACTACTACTACTGCTACGACTACTACTACTACTATTACTACTACTACTACTTCTCCGCCCCTCGACCCTCCTCCTCCTCCTCCTCCTCCACCGCCTCATCCTCGATTCCGCCTCACAAAGAACACCAAAAAAGCTCAGCCCCGCACGCTGCGCAAACGAAACAGGCACCGGCACTCCTGTTCAGCACGGCTTCTCCCATGGATGCACGTGCAATCAACATCCACGGCCTCGGCAACAACTCCAGACGGTTCTGTCCAGGAATAATGTGGGCAAGCGCTTGCAGAGTATTCGCTCGTCGCCGTCAAACCAAAGCCATAGCTGCGCGAAGCAATGACATGCAACACCTGTTGAATGAACGAACCATGGCTGGCACATGTTGCTCCGCACCTCATGCGACGACGTCTCATCCCCGCCCTGGAACTCCACGTGACTCACGCTACCACAGGCATCATCGAACACACACAGGACAATGCGATCTAGCATTCCTTGGATACATCGGGCTACTTCGAGTGTTCGAATGCGCTGCGTGGCAATACTTCGCTTCTCTCTCTCTCTCTCTCTCGCTCCCTTCCCCCGCAGTTGCGCGAGTGCACGATGCTGTCCGCAACGCTGCACAAAAACACAGACATTCCACCGGATGCGACCGGGACCCCCCCAAAGTGGAGGGAGCGAGGCGGGGGACATGGGAAGGGGGGGAAGGGGTCCGCTGCCCCGATGGGCCCCTCGGGGCGCCTCCCCAGCACAGCTGCCCCCAAGACAGCTGAGCCAGGAGCGGTCGAACTCAAAGGCGTGCGGAGAGCACGAGTCCTGCTAGAAACGCCTAGCGACGGTGGCAGGAGGTGGGATGGTGGAGAATCTTGGAGGATGAGGGATAGAGGATGCAGGGGAGAAGGAGGACAGGACTGCATAGGATGGGCGAGATGATGCGAGGAGGGATGCTGATGCTGATGCTGATGATGCTGCATCATCAGCATCAGCATCAGCATCAGCATCAGCCTCAGCAGCAGCAGCAGCATCATCAACATCATCAGCATCATCATGAGGGAGGAGGAGGAGCCCGAGGAGGGATGACGAGGGACGAGGATGAAGAGGAGGAGGAGGCCGAGGAGACGGAAGTGGCTGCGAGGGCGGAGGGGTAGGGGCCTCCCAATACAGCTCCTCGACCGTCTTCTTCCCGCCCTTGCCCCACTCGGACATGTCCAGGTCCTGAGCCCGGATGCTGGCGCAGAAGGAGTCGCGGTGCGGGTTCCCCGAACAGCCAGGACCTGAGACCAGGAGGAAGAGGGGGAGGGAGGACGGAGTAAGCCCCTTCTCGTCCTCATGCGCGTCTGCCCCCCCCCACACACTTCTCCCCTGGGACCTTTTCTCCTCACCCACCACCCGTCTGATACTCCTCCTCTTCCTCCTCCTCCTCCTCCTCCTTCTCGGGATACTGCCTCTTCCTTCTTTATCCTCCTCTCCCCCTTCGCCCCCCTCCTCCTCCACCGACTCCTCCCGCTCCAGCTCATTTGGCTGCTACTGGTGACGCTATTCCTCCTCATCCTCATCCCCCTCCTCTACCTCACCATCCCCTGGCCAACCCCTGATCGCTAACATCATGAGTCGCGGCAGCTCAACAACGAGTACCCCCTCCTCCTCCACCGACTCCTCCCGCTCCAGCTCATTTGGCTGCTACTGGTGCCGCTCCTCCTCATCCTCCTTTCCCTCTTCTACCTTACCACCCCCTGGCAAACCCCTGATCGCTAACATCATGAGTCGCGGCAGCTCAACAACGAGTACAGTTGTGAGTGTCGGAGCTGCCCGTTCACAACCCTCAGCAGCGGCGAATTGCATTGTGCGGTACTGAGGCGCAACACTGCGTTGGCCAAAACAGGGCGGTCTCCCAAGCAAGACCTACCACCTACCCTCTCGCGCATTCACGACGGGGAGGGTTCTTACCTCTCACAAGCAGCTTGTTGGAACATGTCTGCTGTGCGCCGCCATTTCGCCCTGGTGATTGCAAGCATATCGCCAATATCTTGGAGGCCCGGGGTGGGTGGTGGAACCGTGGCCACATGCAGGGGTGGGTGGTGGAACCGTGGCCACGTGCACTACTGCACGCGCACCATCCGTAGTGAGGTTGGCCCTGTAGCGCACTGACTTGGACGAAACGATGGCCGAATTCCTGCAATCGCGCGGACGCGGTGTTCGTGTGCTTGTTGTACTTTGAGTCCACGATGGTTGCTTGAAACAATCGAATCTGCCACAACTCCGCAAAACCGCCTTGAATGGGTCCAAACCGTGCGGGCGGACCCGCGAAGAAACGTCCAACAAAAACAAGCACGGGACCCACACAGTCGGGCGGCGCCAAGAACTGGCAAACTACATCCTGGAGCCTCCACCACGCAGCGTGGCTGTCTTAGCCTGGTCGAAGGAGGGAGGAGGCCGACCGCGAGGGCGGCGGCGGCGGCCTCCAGCGGCCGCCGAGTGGGAGATGAGGGAAGCAAGCGGAAGGACAACGAGGACATAGACGGGAAGAGGAGGCGGGCGTGGGAGGAAGCAGAGGCGGAAAAAGGAGGAGGAAGAGGAAGCGGAAGAGGAAGGCGGAAGAGGTCGTGGACGGAGGCCGGGGAGGCGGAAGAGGGATGAGAGGGGGGGATGAGGAGGTGAATGCAGGAGCGAGGAGATGCAGAAAGGAGGGAGGAGGATGGAGAAGGGATGCGGGGGAGGAAAGGGGAAGGAAGTGCGCTGGCGCCACACCTGGCATCCTCCGCCTTCCTCTCATCCCTTCCCATTGCGCTGATTGTGGACCTATCCACGGATCATATCATAGCCGAACTGGAACTTCAACATGTTCGCCAGCGTGGACCCCTAAACAGTGGCTTCTAGAATACTAGGTGATGCAACCTACGTGGTGCAAGCTATGCGGTGCACTCTATGTGCTGCAAGCTGTGTGGCGCAATCTGTGTGGTGCCAGCTGCGTGGTGCAACCTATGTGGTCCGATCCATGGGGTGCGAGCTATGGAGAGCTATAGAGGTGGTGCAATCAAAGAGGCGCGATCTACATGGTGCAAGCTACGTAGTGCATTCCACGTGGTGCCGTAGATGCAGTGCAAATCTACGTGGCGTGAACTGATAAGTATAAGCTGTGTGGCGCAACTGTGTAGAGCCACTGTATTCATCTAGGTAGTGTGAGCAAGAAAGTGTAAACTGTGTGATGCAATCAATATGGTCCCATCTATGAGGTGTGGGCTATGTAGCGCTAACTCATGTGGTGCAGTCCATATGGTGCGATCTATGTGGTGCGCGTGCAGTGCAATGCAATGCGATTACAGTGCAATGCGCTGCGATTGCAGCGAAAGGTGGTGACGAGGCGACGGCGACGAGGCGGCGACGAGGCGGCGACGGGGCGAGAAGAGGCTGGCTGGACTGGCAGGCGAGCGAGCTCCAAGCAAGAGCCCCTGAGTGCGAGCACTGCTTGGGGACAACGACCCCCTCGTCTCGTGCGCAATCGGGAAATGGGAGCTGCGTGCACAGCAGGAGGAGGAGGAGGCTGCGGGTGGGCAGCAGACACAGGAGAAGGGTGTGGAGGGAGGAGGACGAGGACGGCCAAGCAGCAGCAGGAGCCGAAGCCGAAGGAGCGGGAGGAGCACACGGTTTTCCCCGATGACGGCTTCGGGTGCGGTTGCGGCTGTATCCACGTTCGAGGCTGCGGGTGCGGTTGCGGGCGCGGTTGAAGTTCCCCGAAGGGTTCGCTGGCGGACGTCGAGTCGTCTGGCACTGGCGAGCGCAGAACCACAAACGACCCCGCTGGGAGCACATACGCATGCAAGCGATCACCGCAGGGTAGTGCCTGCGACCTCCACGAGAGCGGTGCGAAAGGCTCCCGTCATGTTGGCAGGTTCAGATCTTTCGTGAAGCGCGGGGTGTGCACCGCGCAGGTGGCCCACGCGCGCTGCCGCGCATCGCCCTCCTCGTTATCCTCCTCCTCCTCCTCCTCCCCCTCCTCCTCCTCCTCCTCCTCCTCCTCCTCCTCCTCCCCCATCGGTCTCCTCCTCCGCCTCCTCCTCCTCCTCCTGCTCCTCGTTTTCTTCCTCCTCCTCCTCCTTCTTCTCCTCCTCCTCTCCTCCTCCTTTCTCTCCTCCTCATGTAAATCCGAGGGGAATGCTCAGAGCGTCAGCTGAAGGGAGACCTTCCTCGTCATCGCCATTATCACAAGCATCAACAGCATCACAAGCAGCCGCAGCAGCATCAGCATCAGCAGCAGGAAGACCAGGGGAAGGCGGAGGAGGAGAAAGAAAAATGTCCGCGCTGAAACGAGAGCGCCATTCTGAAACGACCGGGGCAAAGCGCCGATCGGAAAATTCGGCCCGAGCTGCTGCGGGAACACCGAAAACTATCATTCCGATAAACATCAAACATTCAACTGTTGAAATCCTGCCCATAAAAACACTACGCGGAGAGAACCGGCTACCTTCTGGACGGAGTCAGGGAAGAGGAGACCAGTACTCACAATTCGCCAGACACTGCTTGCACTGAGGGATCCTCACTTCCCTCATAAAAGAACTGGGCCTGTGCGTCGGTCCGGCTGGTCCGTGGCTGCCCGTCGCCGCACCATTTTGGTCACGATTTTGACGATACGAGTTACGCACCTGGGACTGTGTGTCGGTCCGGCCGGCTTGTGGCCGCCGGTCGCCATGGCCCGCCGCCGCACCAGTTGGGTCACGAAGATTGCACCACACAGCTTCCACCACATAGACTGGAGCACCCATATATTGCATTACAAAAACTGCGCCACATAGATTGCACCACATAGCTAACACTATCTATATAAGTATTGTACAATTCGCCGGCCCAACGGGCCAGGGCGTGCTAAGATCTCCGGTACCTGGTTAACAGTATTTCTAGTTCGCGCGCGCGGGGCGGCCCCTGGGGGTCCCCGGACGAAAAGTACCCCGGCAAGGTCCCGGCAAGTCCCCGGAAAGGTCCCGGCAAGTCCCCGGCAAGGTCCCGGCAAGTCCCCGGCAAGTCCCCGGCAAGGTCCCGGCAAGGTCGGGCCAGAGATGCCGGAGCCCTGTTACAGGGCCCCAGGACGGGCCAAGAGGTCCCCAAGAAGCCTCCAAGACGGTCCAAGAGGGCCCCGAGACGGCCAAAGATCGCCCGAAGACGCCCAACAGGGCCCCAAGACAGCCCAAGAGGCCTCCAAGACGCCCCAAGGGCCTTCCAAGAGGCCTCCGAAGAGGGCCCCAAGAGGCCAAAATCGTTGATTTTCATTGTTTTTTTCTATGTTTTTTGCGTTCTGGCTTTTTCGGCTTCCGGACGCTCCAAGACGGCCCAAGAGGCCCCCAAGACCGCTCCAAGACGGCCCACGAGGCTCCCAAGACGGCCCCGGAACGGCCCAGGAGGGCCCCCAAGACGGCCCAAGTGCCGCCCAAGACGGACCAAGAGGCCCCAAGACGGGCCGAAGAGGGGCTCAAGAGGAGAACCGAGAACTGAAAAATCGAGCCCTCCGCCCCAGAAGGCGCCCAGGAGGCCCCAAAAAGGCCCCAAGAGGCCCCCAAGAGGCCCCCAAGACGCCCCAAGAGGCGCCCAAGAGGCCCAAAAGAGGCCCCAAGAGGCCCAAAAACGGCCCCCAAGAGGCCCCAAAACTCGGCTAGCCCACAACGGTGCGACAATATGGGCCGGCGGAATGAGCGAAGCGATTAAATAAACATTGCACCATATAGAGTGCGCCCTGTAGATTGCACCACGTAGCTCACACAAGATATATTGCACCACCTATAATCAGAACGTCGATTGCTTGCACCACGTACATTACGACACACATATTGTAGCACACAACTGACATACATACATATATATATATATATATACACAGATATACATATATATATATATACACATTATGTACCATGTAGACCGATTGACATACATTGCATCGCATAGATTGCACCACCTACATCGCACCACATTGCGTACCAAAACACACTGTTTTGGATCGACGCTGGCCAACATGTCCAATTCTATAGGACTATAGGAGGTCAGCAGCGGCGAGGGCGGCAGCGGCAGCGGCACCGGCCGCCGCCGCCGGCCCGGCGGGGCCACTCTTCGAAGCGATGCTGGACATGTTGGACATGGCGTGGGCGGACTTGACGCTCGAAGGCATCATCGGCGGATGGTCCACGTCCTCTGTTATTAGGGCAGCCGCCGTCGCCGTCAGCGTCGTAGCGTCGTCGTCGGAGTCGTTGTCGTCGTCCTCCTCCTCCATTTCTCCCTCTTGCCCACCCCTCCTCCTCCTCCACCATATCCTCCTCTATGTGTTGCTCTTCCAAATATTCCACCAATCGTTCCTCCTCCAATCTCCTTTGTAACATACTATCCTCCGCCTGGTCCTCCTAGTCCACCGTCCTACAGCCACTCTTCGTCTTCCGCTTGAGGGCATCATCGGTTCCTGTTCATCGTCGATTGTTTTTTGGGCGTCGCTTCTCTTCCTTCTCCTCGCGGTCCGCAAGAAAGGTGATCCAAAAAAGTTAATCCCGACTAACACAGGTGATCTGTGACGATCATCCTTAGCCCAAGACTCACAACCTGAACAGACGGTAATGGACGGGAAGAGTCGGAGTATCCACGGTGCCTGCGGACCAGAACCTGCTCGACTACGTACAAGAAGGCATCGGACGCGAAAACCACATCCCAGCTGTGTGTTGCGTGTACTCCTGTGTGCTCCTGGGCGTTGCTCGCGGTGCGTGTTGTGTGCAGTGCGTGTGTGTAAGTGGGTGAGTGAGTGAATGTGTGTGTGTGCGTGTTTTGACGTTTTTTCTACTGCACTGTCGATTATGCTCGATCGCAATTAGCACCTCCATCTGTTGCTCGCGCTTGAGGGCTCTCTGCGCCGCTGGCTAAAAACAATGCGTGTAGTGTCGGAAAGGTTTATGGGAACGTTGGGGCCCTCGTGGAGGACCGTGAGGGCCCTCGTGGCCGCCCGTGATGCAAGAATCAGGTGGGGCCGCGCTGGGCTGCAGGAGGTTCTGACGGGAGAATTCGTGGACTGTCAGGGCACTGATTGTTCGGGTGCCTGTGTTTTGCCGCGGAGCCTCTTAGATTTTCGCGGGCTCCTTCGTCCATCTTGAGCCATCTTGGCGCGTCTTCCTTGCTCTAGGGCCGTTTCCGGGCGCCCTCGGGCCATGTTGCGGGCTACCACAGCACTCCGGCGATCCAGGAACCTTGCCACAGACATACGCACGAGACCGACGGTGTTGTCGCAGTCTTGGCTGCATGCGGCCCCTCGCGCGACTTCTTGGAGCCTCCTGTGCTGGCACGGTGAGCCTGTCGGACGGTGCTTGGGTCCTCCTGGGTCGTCCTGGAGAGCCCCGGGCCGTCCGGTGGGCCGCCCCAGGCCCTCGTGGTCCGTCTGGGCGGCCTCTCGGCACCTTCTTGGGATGTCCGAAAGCTCGGGTGTTGCTAGAAGTGCCCCTGGCCCAAGGTCCCCCCAGGACTCTCGGGGTGGCCCAGACGGCCTCCTGGGTACCCCTCACGAGGCTCGGAGGGCCCAAGGGGCTCCAAAATGGGGCGAACAGCTGGGGGCACCTAGGGCCAGGGGCACTTCTAGCAACACCTGGAAAGCCTCTTTGGGCCCAGCCCCTCAGCAGAAAACCGGGCCGGACATTACGGTGAGGACATCTTTTTCTCTCACCTCTGGCCCCGAGGGGGCCTGCTCGCATCGAATTCTGCGGGGCCCCGCACGCGCACGGCGCGACCCACAGGGACCCACAGGGGGCCAAAGCCAACAGCCTCGGCCCCAGCTCAGCCCCGTGGGCTAGGGGCCAGCCTCCTGACGCTGAGCGGCCCTCGCCGCTCTCTCGGCCACCGCACGGCGGCCACGAGCACGAGCCACCTTGGCGGAGGCGAAGCCGACAGAGGGCAGCACTCCCTCGAATGCTGGCGTGATGACTTGAGTGGAAGCACCGGTTGTCTGGGCTTGCGTGCGCGGGCGAACCTGAAGGCTAAATGCATGGGTGAACATGAGGTGCCGCCGATGGACCGCGAAGACATCGGCCTACGAAATCCGTCGATGACGTCCAACAACAACGATAACAACGACGAAGGACTGACGACGAAGACGACGTCCCACGACGACGACAACGAGGGACGGTGACGGACGGCGACTGACGGCGACGAGCTCACCGACGCCGCAGACGCCGTCGACACCGAGGACGATGACAACGCCAACGCTAAGAATGCCGCCGCTGACGACGATCGACACTGACGACGACGAACGAGGCGGCAATGGGCAGCAGTCACGCCCTGGAGACGATGTGTGTCTGCTGGGTCACGACACTGCAACCTTGGCTTGATACGTGCTTTCTCAGCGAGTCCGCAAAGGCAGAATACTAGACTGCGGCACTTTCGCTGGGAAGCGACAGTAAGACGACGTCGTCCGCCAACAACGTCTGCCAACGACGACTACGCCGACGCCGGTGACGACGACGGCGACAACGACGGTCAAACGACATCGACGATGGCGAAGGCGAACACGACGACCTCCGGAGGTTCCAAAAGGTCCACGGAAGCCAGACGAAGGCTAAAAGCGGGGGTGGCGAGGCGAGGCGAGGCGCCGGCGTGCGTCCCGACGGGGCGACAGCCCTGCCAGGGCGCGGCGTGCGGGCCGGGGCCCGGTCATGGCTGGAGGTCGGTGTTGTGGCAAATGGCAAATTTCTCTTCCAATGCGTCCCATTGCTGTTGGTTTGTAGCAATGCGTACCATTGTAAAAGCGGGGGTGGGGGGGGGGACACAAAGCACAAATCAATCGGCACCAGTCCTGGATCATTGGAGGAAGACGGCCGGCGACGACGACGACGGACGACGACGACGAAGGACGACGACGGACGACGACGGCGACGGACGACGACGGACGACGACGGCGACGAGGACGATGACGACAATGACGGACGACGCCGCCGACGACGCCGACGCCGACGACGACCGAAGACGGCCTGGACGTCCGACGACGACGCCCCGCCGACGATCGGGTCGGGCGAAAGGGGGAGATGTTCCCGGCGCCTCCCGGCGCCGGAGGCGGCCATGTATCGAGAAATGGCCCCCTCGGTGAGGCCGAAACCAGCTGCATGCAGCAAACTTCGTAACCCCCCCTTTCCCAATCCCCCCCCTTGCGTCCGGCCCGAGACGACGTCCCGCCGAAGGCATCTCGGCGACGACGCCCCGAGAGCAGCGAAGCGAGGCGCCTGCAACGGCCTCCGACGGCGGCCGCCGGCCCACGGCCACGGAAAGGTGGGGAGGAGGAGGAGGAGAGGGAAACGCAAGAGGAAGCGGTGGAGGAGGAGGAAGAGGAGGAGGAGGAGGAGGAGGGGGGGGATGAAGACGAGGAGGAGGAGGAGGAGGAGGAGGAGGGGAGGGAGGAGGAGGAAGAGGAGGAGGAGGAGGAGGAGGAGGGGGAGGAGGAGGAAGAGGAGGAGGGGGAGGAGGAGCGAGCCTCCTGCCTGGCCGCGAAGAACACCTGCGGCCTCCGCGCCGCGCGCGGTCGGCGCGGCCAGCCCGAGCGGCCCCCTGTCTCCCGCTCGTCGTCGTCGGACGGCGGGTCCGTCGTCGTCGTCGGTCGTCGTCGTCGTCGTTTCCGTCGTCCTTGTCGTCGTCGTTGTCGTCGTCGTCTTTGTCGTTGTCCTCGTCGGTGGTCGCCGGTCGTCGGTGGGCGGTCGTCGGTGGTCGTCGTCTCCGTCGTCATCTTTGTCGTCGTCGTCAGTCGTCGTCGGTCGTCATCGGCCGTCGTCGTCGTCGTCTCCCTCGTCGTCGTTGTCGTCTTCGTCGGTGGTCGTCGGTCGTCGGTCGTCGTCGTCGTCCGTGGTCATCCGTCGTCTGTCGTCTGTCATTCGTGATCGTCTTCATCGTCGTCGCCAACGTCCGTCGTCGTCGGTCGGCGGTCGGTCGGTGGGTCGGTCGGTCCGTCAACGTCGTCGTCGGCGTCGACAGTCGTCGTCGGTCGTTGTCGCCGTCGTCGTCGTCCGTCGTCGTCGGACGGTCGGTCGTCGGTGATCCGTCAAAGTCGTCGTCGTCGTCGTCGGTCATCGGTCGTTATCGTCGTCGTCTTCCAGCGTCCATCGTCGTCCATCGTTGTTGTCGTCGCCGTCGTATCCGTCGTCATCTTTCTCGTCGCCGTCGTCATCGTCGTCGTCGGTCGTCGTCGGTCGTCATCGGTCCTCGTGGTCGTCGTCGTTGTCGTGGTTGTCGTCGTCGTCGTCGGTCGTCGCCTTTGGCGTCGTCTTCAACCGTCGTCAGCGTCGTCGTCGGTTGGTCAATACGTCAACGTCGACGTCGTCATCGTCGTCCGTCGGCGTCGTCGTCGTCGTCGGTCGGTCAGTCGGTCCATCGTCGTCGTCGTGGTCCGTCGTCCGTCGTGCGTCGTCGTCTTTCTCGAGATGTTCGTCGTCGTCGTCCCGTCCTAATCGTCGTAGTCGTCGTCGTCGGTCGGTCGGTCCTGCAACGTCGTCAGCATCGTCATCGTCTCCTCCGTCGTCGTCGTCGTCGATCCTCGTCGGTCGTTATCGTCGTCGTCGGTCGTTACCGTCTTCGTCGTCGTCGAAGTCGTCATCGTCGTCGTCCGTCGTCGTCTGCCGTCGTCAGCGGTCGGTCGCTCCTTCAACGTCGTCGTCGTAATCGTTGTCTCCATCATCGTCGTCGGTCGTCGTCAATCGTTGTCGTACTCAGCGTGATCCGTCGTCATCGTCGTCGTTGTCTCCGTCAACGTCTTTGTTTTTGTCTTCGTCGATGGTCGTCGGTCGTTGGTCGTCAGAGGTCGTCGTTAACGTCGTCGTCATCGTGGTCGTCGTCGTGGTCGTCGTCGTGGTCGTCGTGGCCGTCGTCGTCGTCGTCGTCGTCGCTGTCGTCGTCGTCTCCGTCGTCGTCGATGTCGTCGTCTTCGGCGGTGGACGTCGGTCGTCGGTCGACGTCGTCGTCGGTCATCACCCGTCGTATGTCGTCTGTCGTCCATGGTCGTCTTCGTCGTCGTCGTCGCCGCCCGTGGTCGTCGTCGTCGGTCGGTCGGTCGGTCGGTCCGTCAACGTCGCCGTCGGCGTCGTCGGTCGTCGCTAGTCGTTGACATCGTCGTCGTCGTCGTCCATTGTC